GGGAGAAGCTTAGTAAAATCAGTAGCACGAGATATCCACACACTGACTGCCTGGGCGATTCTGGTACTCGTGCTATAAATACTAAAATTAGGGTCCATAAAAGTTGCATAAAATGCTTAAGAAATGGGACGCTTTCTGAGGAAGGTATTAAACAAAATAAAAAAAAAATCTGTCTCTGTAAGCCAGTTTCAGCAGAAACTGGTTAGCGAATAACTGGTGTATGCATGTGCAAAAATTTTTCATGAGCACTCTCCGTGATTGAGTGACTGCATTTCGTAGATACTCCTTCTGACATTTATCATATTAATTATATATAAACACTCAGTCACAACAGGAAAGACACGATACAGTGACTTGTAGAGCTGCTAGGGGGTTCGACCCAGCCACTGGGATAACCAGTCCCTCTACGATCCGTTCAGTTGCTTCGATGGTAAATTGGTGTTACGCACGCTGGGATATAAAAGCCACTGAGAGGTTTACCAACGCGTGGTTGCTGCTGACTCTTGCCAGCACTCCGGCTGTCTTTGAGTCCCCCTGACTCTCTAAGAAAGTAAATACGGAGGCAATATTCGACTTCTTATAATTTCGGTATATCATGATATTGACTTTATGAAATAAACTCTTGCAATAGTAACAAAACTGAAACAACTTATACCATGCAAAAGACAACTATTTGCTAGAAAAATGCACCGAATAGTAAAAATACTTAATATGAGCATGTTTCTAACTTCTGCCATATTCAGTTCAAGTGAGTACCATTAACAGTTAACACTCTCATTCATTAGTGTCATAAGATTCATGAGGAAAAAATTCTAGCATACAGTTGCAACAACTTCCGTACTATCAAAAACTCCACAGTCTTCCAGGTAATTTTGATTATCCTCCCAGGTAAGAAGCTTTAAACCTCTTCAAAAATTTTTTAGAGAAATAGAATTACATGGATTTTGTTGCTTCTCTTCACCTCATATATAAATTTAGAACGAGCCCTCAATCCAAACTAGTAGTTTAAACAAACCTGGAAAAAAAGTCCTTTTTGCCCTTTAATTATGCATGTACACACAATTAAGGTTGATCAGTTGGTACGGATTAGGGAATTGATTTTCTGAATATCAATTTTCAGAAAATATCGTGCCAGGCGTTGCGCAGTAAAAATTCTGTAGATTCGGGTCGATGATTCCACCACCAGGTAATCCGGGCGTTGTCGATGCTAACTCGGTCCCCACCGTTGAAAGTAGGTAATGGCTGTCAAAACATGGATGGCTGTAAATTGAGCTGCGGTGCCGGGATGATTAACAGTCGACACAGCCGGGCTGTTGTGCGGTGGTTGGAAGCTCAGTACACCTGTCGACATTATCGTCACCAAATATTAACATTTTCATTCAGCACCAAAAAAAAGCGTGTTCCCGATGAAAAATTGAATGAATTATGCATTCCTGCTACTGTTATTGCTACAACAATCAACACAGTTCCTGTCAGTTCCACTGTCATCATTATCGTCATCATTGTCATCATTATCAACATTGTCACCATTGTCAACACTGCTAGCAGCAGCTACTGCTATTGATATTGGTGTTGGCAGTAATTTCGCTAGTTGGTAACACCACCATTACTTATGGCACCAGTACTGTATTAGTGGTGATACTTCTGCTCCAGTGCAAGACACCAAGAACATATTTATTCTTTCATTATTGCTGTTGCTATTATTATTGTTATTATTATTACTGTTACCACTAACACCGCTATTGTTATTTTTATTATCATTGTTATTATCATTTTTGTTACTATTATCATTATTACTGTTTCCAGTGTTATTGCTATTGATACGGATGCTAGCACTAGTAGCAATAATTGGTAACATTATTTTTAGTATCACCACCAGTACAAATAACAACAAAATCATGACTACCAAATCGATGTGGGGATTCAGTGTTACTATTTTCAAGAAGTTTGGAGTTTGGTAGCTCCAAAAACACGATGTGAGCAAAAGCAAAGTGCAACAGGTAAGAAGAGGATTATTCCGAAAAATTTTGCAGAACTCGAGCACCTTTGCTCCGTTCTTGCACACTGATTGAATCCCACAAAAATTTTTTGGAAAAAATTATAAACATGACATTGCTGATTCATATCTGTTTAACCCAACCGGAGTACTTTCCAACAGATTTTTTCTTGCGGTTGAGTTACATATATCGAATCGGCAATGGGTACTAGCTGGAGGTATGCAACACAAACTCAAAGGGCCTGGCATACCGGAAACCAGTATCTGGGAATAACTCAATCACAAAACTATCATTGGGATGCCCACAGCGAATGTGCCAAACGGTTCTGATATTCTTGCAATACCGAAACATTTATGTCCGGCAAGTCCTAATGATTTTGGCCTGTGAAAGGCATTAAATGCCCTGGATTTGTATTTTACTATAAGGAGAAATTTCTAATTTTTATATAGAATGGAACTGACGAGTAAAATTTCGAATGAAATAAATTTTGCCAAGGAATTTAAAAAAAGTCACGGTACTGGATTTTAAATACCCTTGCAAAAAATATCGTCCCGAAAAATTCATCAACCGCGCATTTTGATGGCAGCACTACATATACCGCTGCTACCAATTAGTTGGTGTGCAAAAAATCAAGGTATGAAAATTTGGAAACAAACGCCAGGGGAGAAAAGCAGCCCAATGGTCAGTTGGTCGAACATGGGTCACAGCACCTATGTAAGATTGGCACCTATGTAAGATTACCTGGCGACGCAGAGTTTACCACGACGAAATAGCCGTTGGTCAAAGCATCAGAAGCAACAGTGCTACTAACGGTCACCTGCGAAACTCAGCCGGGTCGAGATCTGGAACCTCACTTAGGTTTTAACACAAATTCGAGAATCGTTGAGAAGTACCATGCCCAGAGCTGCGGCCTTCAAAGTCTGCTTTCTGATATCCTGTATTCTAACAGTCTCGAGACGTTTTTCAATTAATTCCTATGACATCATTTGCGTCGATGACCATTCAATGGCAAAAAAGATTGCAATTATTTCCAAGACAAACATACCGGTTCCTCCAGTGACGTCGAGTTATGGAACAAATTCACCGAAACCCCTTTGATTTGTGTCGCCGTTGCTGAGGCTGTTATTACTGCTATTATTATTGTTATTATTGTTGTTATTGGCATTACTGTTTATTATTTCTGTTTCTTATCATTGTTGTTAGCAATGTTACTGTATCATTATTGCTGTTAGCAGTGTTACGGTATCATAACTGTTTTGTTTTCGACCATTAATATTGTTATTATTATCGTTATTACTATTGTTATTATTATTGTTATCAGCAGCATTTTCATTATCATTATCCCAATTTCTATTATTGCCATTTTTATTATTACTGCTGCCACTAGTGTTACTGTTAGTACGCTCATTGCTATCAGACTACACTTAAAGCTGCTACTAGCTAATACACATCATTACGGCAGTAATCCTGGGATTTGTTTGATCATATGTTCCAGTACAAACCATCTTTTCTTCTCGGTTTCCCCTGCTCCCTCCCCTTCTCGTTCCCAGTACACATACACCCACACAGACACGCACACACATACACACACACACTACACAGACGCCCAACCCACATTAATGCATGTGTAGCCAGAAATCTTTTATTTCAAAAATTACAGATAATATCCGCTTAGCATAAGTGAATTCCTAGATGACTTAGTAGTGAAACTTAATAAAAACTATTTTTCCAAGGCTTTTATAACAAGATGAGAAAATTGATAATAATTTTAAGGGTCATTCGATCCAGAGTGGCAT